GGAGTGAGAAGGCTTTGGACTGGGTCAGACTTAAAAGTATTGGCATGAATTATGTTCTTCAAATATTACCCTGCAGTGTCCTTACATCTAAATAGTCGCTAAAGTCAGAATGTTCTCACAACAGTTTATCGAGAGGTGAGTGATTGTGTAATGTCATAAAATGTCCATTAGTGAAGGGGATACTTGAGGATCCATGTCACGACAATCCAAACTTCAGTGGCCCAACCTCCACAATAAACTGAACCAACGGCACAGGAACATGGCGGCAGGTGGTTTACGCAGAAGAGCATGTAGTGATGTACGCTGAAAATCTGTCCGTAGTAGTCCATAATATCAATAACTGAAGTCTGACCGATGCGTTATAGTGAAAAATGACTGGATTTGCTTTGTCTCATGACACGATTGTGCTACAGGGACAGTGTACAATAAACATGAGCCAAAAGGAGATGCATTGTACCCATGGATCTAATATCTGGATAAAGTATTACCAGATTATAGCTGTCCCACCTATGGCCACAGGGGGCGGCCATGGTACTGCAGACTAAATTCACGTGGGCTACCCAGAAAAAAGTCCCATAGAACTCAATGTAAACTAAAACAGCTCGAATTCAGCTGACAGAGAATCTGACAGAGAACCTACAGCTTTCACAAAGGAGGATTCCCATGATGCAAAGTAGAACCGGGAGGACCAGAGAAATGACCAAATATGGGTGAGTTCCGCGAATCTTTCACAAAACAATGATAATACAATGAAAAATACAATCTCACTTATAAACTACAATATGACATTATTAGAACATGCAATGACTTTCGCAAAGAAATTACCCAAAATAACTCTTCCTATTTTTTCTATAAAGCTACAAATTACACACAAAAATCTGGATAATACTGCATTAAAACTGTGCACACTACACGACCCATCAAAGTCACTTTTGGCATAAATCAGACTCTAATTAGTTTAAGAGTGTTGGCACGTCACGGCCCGGCCTGGATTAGCCAACACCAGATTGGTGTTTGAGCTCAGTCCATATACACTATATTGTTTATTGATTTACCTTCTCATCTCAGCTCGGCCTTGACATAGTCTAAACCCGAGTGAAGGTCACCCATGGCCTCAGCACGCACGCACGCACGCACGCACGCACGCACGCACGCACGCACGCACGCACGCACACACACACACACACACACACACACACACACACACACACACACACACACACATACGCGTTTGCTTGACAAATGAGGACCTATGTCTGCACTGTGACATATCAGGACGTGCCTTTCTGAAGGTCCCAGAGACCTGAGGATCACATAGGGGGGAGCAGGGTGTGATCAGTAACACAGCTAGCTGTTGATATTTTGGTTAAAAGAAACTTTTTTCCCGCATGATTTTATTGCCACATATGAGGACCTTGACAGGTCTGAGTGACATATTAGGACCTACAACAAACACATCCGGTCTGAGTGACATATTAGGACCTACAACACACACATCAGGTCTGAGTGACATATAAGGACCTACAACACACACATCAGGTCTTAGTTAGATATTAGGACCTACAACACACACATCAGGTCTGAGTGAGATATTAGGACCTACAACACACACATCAGGTCTGAGTGACATATAAGGACCTACAACACACACATCAGGTCTTAGTTAGATATTAGGACCTACAACACACACATCAGGTCTGAGTGAGATATTAGGACCTCTAACAAAGGCTGATAGACAGTCCTGTTAAAAGTGACAGTAATCCTTTTTGATACAGTCTGTTAAAATCCGCGTAATCCGTCGAGCAGGGCGAATAAAAACAGTGATAGAAACTTAGTTTTAAAAATAACTCATAAAAATGTGCAACTCAAAAAAGGCTCCAAACAAATGCGTCCGCCATCTTGCGCATGCGCCATTGCGCCATTACTTACACTCGTACACTCGCTACAGGCAAAATGGGTAAAGTGTCTGCCCAAGGACACAACGACAGCCGAAATCAGTTGGAGTCTGCGGAGAAGGTCTTGCCCAAAGAACAGGTTAGAAGTCAGGATAGGAGACCAATGGGAGTGACATTTAGACTACAAATCTACTGTCTTCAAAACCTGTGTGTGCGGAAATAAATGAAATGTAATAAAAACCATTTAAATTGAGAAATGTTGTTGTTCTAATTCTGAAATAACCGATCATCATGCGTCCATTTTGATTCAGATTTATCTTGGGGAAAGTGAGCCATTAGTCCAGATTCCAGATCAGACCCCACTCTCAAAGATAAATCCCGAGGCAATATGGGCAAGTCGTCATTCTTCCGATTTCTCCGTGTCTCAGACCAAAGGGAATCCCTGGAGGCGATTTCATCCCCGTCTGAAAACACCCGACAGCTCTGCTTTGAAGAGGCGCATCCAACCTTTGTCAATACAAATCCATTCAGAGGCGCTTTGGCATTTGCCGTTTTATTTTACCAAAGCTTCCGCTTCCTCACCGGATTTTTAAGTCGGAGGAAATATTTTGAATACTAAAAACCCCAGAAACCAACATTTGTAAATTCAACTGTTAGAGCAGGTTTTTACAAACACGGACTTTTCTTGTTTTGGATAAAATAATTTTGTGATGCTTTATTTTAAGAAAACATCAAAAAAGAAATAAATAAATAATACTTGAAATGTATGTTTTTAAACTAGAATCAAGTCGTTTGGGGCGAGTTTTATTTTATTATTTTCCGAAATAATGTGTAATTTCCTCATAGAAGCTGCATCAGCCTCACACAGACACCAAACACCAAACTCATTTTCACTTAACTATCTCTTGCCAACGACAGACGAATTGGAACATAGAGATGAGCTCTTCAGGGAAGACAGGTTTTACCTTCACGTTTTTCACACATGTTTGAAAAGCTAAATTCATTCATTCACTTTCTACCCATTATTAATACATTTCTGGGTCGGGAGGGTGTCAATCAGAGCTTCACCCAATGCCCATAGCACCAGCCCCTCACTGATCCTCCGGCAGGTGGTGGGTCCACAGGAGTAAGTTAGTAAGTAATGTTCTTTTATATAACGCACTTTAAAGACCAATGTCACCCAAAGAACTTTACATTTTTCAGAGTTCAGAGTTTGTTCCAATCACTTCACACCCAGTGATGATCGAAGCGAGACGCCGCAGGAAGATGGCCTCTAGCCTTGTTCTTTCAGCAGGGCTTCGGGGTCACATGAGTGAGAGCAGTTGGAGTAGGTCTTGTGTGGGTATCGAACCCACATCCTTCAGGCCCAAAGGTGTGTCTGCCATGTCTACTGTATGTTTACTTTTGAATGTTCTGGAAACAGCAGTGAGTCCTGGGTGTCTCTGAAACAGTTGTTATTTTGTGTTTTACAATTGTTAATTTTATTGCTTTTTTCTTCTGCCTGAGATGTTGCTACAGTTCAGTGTTCATGGTTTTACACAGGTCCAGACCAGAGCAGAGAGGATTCATGGTCCAAACCAAGATCAGGTGAAAATCCACTGGAGGAATGCTAACTTTTTGAAAAAGGCCACTGAAGCATTTAGCATTTTACTCTGGACCAGAGCAGAGAAAATGCTGTGACCTGAAGGACTGTTGTTGTTTTTACTATTGTGAGCTTTTTAGAATGATCTATTTATGTGTTTTGTTTGGATGGATGTGTTTTTGCTGCTACTGGACACCTGCATTTCTCCAACATCAATAAAGTAAATATCTATCTCTATCTATGTCAAACCTATAATGTAGTGATATATTTACATTGAGACAAAGTAAAACAGTCCTTCGTCTCTTCAAAGTCATTTCCTAATAAATGTGTTAATTTCCTTAAATCCTTTGAATTTGGACCGGAGCTTTTCTTTCACACATTTTCATCACCGGTTGCAATTAAATCATCAGCATTAATCATGAAGTCAATCTTTTCCTTTGATCTGTTGCGTGATGGTCAGCTGGGTTTGGTGCTAAGATCTCTCACTAATAATTATGCAACATTTCTTCCACTTGAATAATAATAAGAGTAAGAATTATCTACGTGAATGTTTGAGTCCATATTGTGATTTTTACACATCTGTTCTTTCCTTTAGTCTTCTCCTCATAACCATGAGCTCGTTCAGGGTAATTCAATCCACGTCATCTATATAGTACATTTTATAAAACATGTTTCCAAAAGTGCTGCACGGATAGAAGTAACACATTAAAATATACAAGTCTCAATGCTTTTTTTCCTCAAAGATTTATGTACTGATGAAAAGAAGTAAATAGAATTCCTCAAAACATTTTTTTTTTCTCTCTTTCATTTGGTATAACTGGTCCACTAACATTTTATTTCTAATTAACTGTATGTACATACCTGGTCAATAAAAAACAAAAACAATGAACATGTGCCTCTGCATCACTCACAGCCCAAACTAAAAAGACATACAAAACGTAAATGACAACAAAATTACAATTAAAATGGACATTTTGAGACATAAAAAACATAAAGTGACTGACCTCTTCCCTGACACGGGTTTTCAAAGGGAAGAGGCAGCGGGAAAACCCCGAATTTATAGTGGGGGAACGGGGGACACACGAAGAAGAAATATAAACACGGGAGTGGCTGGAGGACCAAAGCTGCACAACGAATCAAAGACCAGGACAAAAAACAATTATAAAAATAATAAAACTTGTAATAAAAATACAATAATAACTGTGTAATTCACATAACACTTACATAAACAAATTTAAAAAATACACTGTAAAGTTTTGAGAGAGGTCACTAAAATTTACTTTGCTACAACTGCACAGAAGACTAAACAGACAGGAAAGGGAAGAGGAAAGGGGAGGAAGACAAGTGCTAAAAAGAAGGAAGATACTCCAGCAGAAGGTACAAGAAAAAGAAAATCAAAAGCCCCATTTACACAAGATCGATTTTGAATAACTTTATTTCAAAAAGTAAAAATTCTTGTAAATATTTTTCTGTGTTATATATATATAAAAAAAAAAGTATGGTGATGTTGTATTTCTTCAACGTTAGGGAACAGATGTCGTCTCCTGGGACATAGAAAAGACACATTTTACAAAATTGTAACATTCCAAAGTAAAACTTGAAGATACACAAAAATCCAATCAATATTATTCAGTATGGAAAATAGGGCAGAGAGAAGAAGCTAAATCTTAGAATCATACAACACTGGAATGTCTCTTCAAGGGGTCAGTTGAGCCCTATACATTAGTTATTCTTTTAAGCTGGTTAGTTACACAAACATACCTGTCCTCTCTGGACCTGTGTACGCATCAATTCTGAAGTAGGAGGTGGGTTAACACCAGACACTGGTCCAAGTGCTCGTGGGTCATCCGGTATGATACTCCGTCTGGTTGGGAGGCCACCAGCAGACTGAAGACGTCTGCCAATGATTTGTGTCTGAAGGTCAGGAATGTAGTTGTAATCCTTTGCTTCTTTGACAGTGTGTACCCGATACCGTTTACAACTATATTCATGACTTGTCAATAGGAAGTAGTGAATGATACTTACGACACTTGGCCTTTGCTGTTCACATGTGCCGGACGGTTGTTGTGGTGATTGTAGTCCAAAGCTGCAAGAAATGTTCTTGCTTCATAAACAAAAAATGAAAATCATTCCAGCTGTGAGGTGGTCCTGCAGGGAAACTAAGTAGGAAATAGAAGAAACACAAATCATTCCAAAAAATAAAAGGTTATCTCTTACCGAAATGTGAGCAACTTCTCCACATCCTTCAGCCATCTGCGGTTCAGCACGATCTGTGACAGTGCCACATGTGCTTTAGAGCCAGGCGATACAGGCTCTTTAGTGCCATCATCTCCCAAAGGACCATGAAGGCATCTACCCAGGTCCCACTCATGCACGCCACTAACATGGTGCAGTACACCTTGCCAAATGTCCTAATCAGCAAACATAAGAAAATGAAAAGGTATAGTGAGAATGAAAATATAAATTCTAGTTCTACTTTACTTACCATGAACTCGTCTCGGCTGCTTGCATGCTGACATGCATACCAAAAATGGTTAACAATGTCCTTGATCCACACTAGGATTTGTTTTTGACCTGCTAGGACACCCGCATATCAAAGTTATTGGTTTTGGTTAACTCTATAAAAAATAATTGAATGAGAAACGATATGAACTATCACTTACAGCATGAAGCCTCTTAGTTAAGATTCTTTGCAGCATGCCAGACATCCAGGGAATGGGTAACTCCATGATCCATATATCTTCCCCGTTCTGGATTTATTTTAAAGCTCAAAAATGCAGTAAGCACAAAATATAGCACATCAAATAATACAGACAAAAATACTTACGCATGAGGGCTGCAATTTGCACATGGGCGTCAGTCACAATCTCTTTGACTTTTAATTCTTTCGATAGATCAAATGTTTTGATGAATGCTGCTTTCTCCATAGAGACACTTTTCCCACCAACTTGCCTTTTTATCAACATTGACAACACTGATGATGTCCAAAGTGTCAAGTTCCATCGTTGTGTATGTGAAAAACGTTGCAGAATGACCTTGTTGAATCAAATATGGTGAAACACAAAGTAATACACAATAACTATGTTGTAAAGTGAAAAGCTTCAGACTTACCTGGTGAGTCCATTCTCTCGTCAGCTGTAACAGATATAGTACTTATAGTGACTGCAAATATGACAAAGAGAAAGGCCGCACCCCTGCCACAGATAAGTCATCCCTGTTAAAAAAAAATGCAAGTTTGTTTCAGTGATATTGTCAATAAGGCTTGAATCAAACATAATGCCAATCCTATTTTTCTGGTAAAAAAGTACCGGTCAGATTCTACGATACCGATTGAACTCGGGAGATCACCAGTCGCAGTAGTGGTTTTAGGAGTTGAGGCCTTGGGACTCCTTGATGCCATAATTTTTTCATAGCTGTAAAGTAAATAAATACACGTTACCTATACACACATGCATCTCATTGTATTACAGTTGGACTAACCACATTCTATTACTAATATAGTCTGCAATTCTACGATACATATAGTACAGGTACTGAGGTACATAATCACTGCATCTGCAAGTTTCATAATGGTTTACATGCACAGTAGCAGCCCAATAATGTACACAGCTGTACTACGCTAACACATGCTAACGTTCTTTCAAAAGCTCTAATCAATGTAACAGTCATTATTTCTAAACATTCTTTATACAGAACAAACAAAATGCTGAATGTGTCTCGCCAATCTGTTACTATTCAGAAAAAAACCGAACCAAATGGAATCAGTCCATGTTGCTAAGTCAAAAAGCCAACACATAATAATGCTATTTCACTTCGTATTCGTGCAAGACACTAGGACGTTTAGAACTGAGTCACCGTCTTTCTAATCAAGATAAACCCCAAATGAGGATCAATTTTTATCCCCAGAGCGTTTCGGAGGCTTCTCCATTTCTCAAACGCATGGCCGAGAGCGACTCAGGTCTGAGCTCTCCGCCGGTCGGCCTCTCGCTTCGTTCTTTTCGTAGCACTGGTGACAATCTTCCAGACGGTGATTCTGAAGCTGGTCTCTTATGGAGCCAAAACAGTGAACGGGCACGCGCACTTCCACTTAAACAGCGCGCAAGAAAGCGACCCGAGTCAGGGATTTCTCAATCACTGCATGCGCTCACAGAAGCAACCACAGTGAATCTGCTAATGCTCAGTTTACACACCAGGCAACTGCTGATGGACCACAGATGCAAAATATTGCGTTTTGGCATTTTTCAACTTACGCAATGCACCTTTAAAGATGCAGTCAATGATTTTTCCAGACACAATGTTTAAAATACTGTGGGAAAACGTCCCTAAATCCCCGAAGTATTCAGGTTATCATGTGTTTTCAAAAAGGAATGGACCAGATGCCTGTAGCCTCAAAAAATAAATCATAAATATTTTGAAGCGGACCGATAGAAATAAACCAATGGGATACGTTCACCCCCGTCCTGGTTTTTGTCTGAGTTGTTATTGAGTTGGATTTTCTAAAACACCTGCAATGGCTGAACCGAAAAACCTCAAAGTGCCAACTCCATGTTTGCCACTCGCCTGTTGAGGCAAAGAAGAGAACATCAGAGAAAAAAGCAGCCAGGGCTCTGTAATGCTACGGCAGTCCAGTTTTGCTAAGTGCTAGTTTGTTAGTGGAAGCTAGCATGTGACAAGGATAGCAGGCTAATTGCTCACAGACTTGAGCCTAATGTAGTTTAATACTTACATATTTCAAGCTGAGGTTTCGTCACAGAAACAGCATTCTTGTGCTGGGGGTTGGCTTTGGTGGAGGGCAGGGGGGAGGTTTTGACTTTGTGCTACTTTGATGCTAATGCTAAGGTAACATGAATCCTTTACTGCTCTTTTAAAGACCTTATGCTGGGTTTGTCCAATAATTCGCGGATATCAAAATTGCAAGACAGATAATCAAGTAATGTTGATCTGAAATTGTCCAGTATTTCACTGAAAAATATGTTTTCAATACATTTGCGTTGTCTCAGCCTCACACAAATAAGTGTGACATCATAGCGGGTACTGGCTCATTCCAAATGTACAGTGATTCCGACAGCGAACGACAAACATGCGTAATAACCTCGTATCAACGGATGAAGAGCAAAGCCAGTTACAAGAAGAAGTCCTACACCTTTTGCCACATGTTTGAGCCTGATGCTTCTGTGAGCAGTGCATTGCAACACATCTTCTTGTCATCTTGAACACCCACCGTTTTAGTGCGAAAAATAGACAAACAAAATGTAAACAAGCTTGATAGCATGGAGTACACATACTTCCGGATCACACGGGTTCCTGGAGTGATGTCCACAAGGAAGAAGCGCTGATTTGATTATTTTCGTTTCTAAAGCCGTTGCTATGGTCTTTTCTCAATTTGGGGGGATCAGACAAAAAAAAAATATTTTGAAACCTTTAGTAGTTCTTTTCCAATATTAAATGGTATTAGAACTTAATTTCTAATCTTTACAAATCCTGCATAAGGTCTTTCAGTATTTTGCTCAGATAAACCTCTATTATGACGGTGAAATCGCCCTTTGCTTTTTTGACAAACCTGGCCCACCTTTTCTGACTCACAAATCGGACATGAAGCATAAGCGCTGATATTCATGACAACATTACTGAATTTCTCTTCAAAAGAAAAGCGAGGGGAGATTACCTTTTCAAAGCTGACATGACAGGATCCTGCTCTGTGTCTCTGAAGACTACGAGACGACACACACTCTCCATCGTGCCTGACCTCCAGCTGAGAACACGCTGTTACACCTTTGCCACTGCCTAATCACAACGGCTTCCACTTCACAACACGACAACACATTTTTGTAAAGCGCTCCAAACACTATGACTAAACTTTTGCACACGCTAACCTTGTCTCACCTTCTCTGTGGCGTCATATCAGTGTTGACGAGTGGGCAACAGGAGTGGGAGAGTGCAGGATCGCGTGTGTAGCCTGAAGTCCTAGCACTTCGGTCTGGTCTCTATATGTAAAGGTGTGTGTGTGTGTGTGTGTGTGTGTGTGTGTGTGTGTGTGTGTGTGTGTGTGTGTGTGTGTGTGTGTGTGTGCGTTTGTTTTGTGGACATATGAGGACTTTTGTATGATAACACACCTTCAATATCAGGACCTGAGGAAATGTGAGGACTTTTTTCAGGTCCCCATTTTTCCATGCATACTACAGTGTTGTAGAGGCCCAGAACAAGCTCCACACCAAAAATCAAGCATGTCCCAAAATGTCTACAGATAGTGAAAATGTGTGTCGGGGCCGAAACACTCCGTCCCAAAAAGTTTGAAGCGCCTCTCTGGTCGTGCACGGTACTACCTTAACACACTTTTAACACACACACACTTGTCCTCATATGTCACCTATTTTGTCACAAACTTAAATACATTCCCAGAGGTGGGTAGAATAGCCAAAATATTGACTCATGGTAATTTAAAAAGATACTTGAGTAGTGAGTGTGTGTTTGTAAAAAAAAAGAAAAGAAAAAAACTTTCAGCCAGAAGGGGCCTTTTGGAGTGGAGCTTGCATGTTCTCCTTGTGTCAGTAGATTATCTCCCTGAAAAATTGTCTTAACTCCAGTTGGAAAATCATGTTTACATTAGAATTTAAAACATCAAAAACAAATATAAAAGTGAGGTGTCAAAAATTACAAACACAATGTATAAAAATAAATAATTCTACATTAAAGTTATAATGTATTTGTCCATCTACAGAGTTACTCTCCGTGAAAGGAGTAACGATTGATAAATATTTCACTCAGACCTGAAGTGCTTGTTATACTGTAGGTCCTAATATGTCACTCAGACCTGATGTGTGTGTTGTAGGTCCTAATATGTCACTCAGACCTGATGTGTGTGTTGTAGGTCCTAATATCTCACTCAGACCTGATGTGTGTGTTGTAGGTCCTAAAATCTCACTCAGAACTGATGTGTGTGTTGTAGGTCCTAATATCTCACTCAGACCTGATGTGTGTGTTGCAGGTCCTGATATCTCACTCAGACCTGATGTGTGTGTTGTAGGTCCTAATATCTCACTCAGACCTGATGTGTGTGTTGCAGGTCCTGATATCTCACTCAGACCTGATGTGTGTGTTGTAGGTCCTAATATCTCACTCAGACCTGATGTGTGTGTTGCAGGTCCTGATATCTCACTCAGACCTGATGTGTGTGTTATAGGTCCTAATATCTCACTCAGACCTGATGTGTGTGTTGTAGGTCCTATTATCTCACTCAGACCTGATGTGTGTGTTGTAGGTCCTAATATCTCACTCAGACCTGATGTGTGTGTTGTAGGTCCTGATATCTCACTCAGACCTGATGTGTGTGTTGTAGGTCCTGATATCTCACTCAGACCTGATGTGTGTGTTATAGGTCCTAATATCTCACTCAGACCTGATGTGTGTGTTATAGGTCCTAATATCTCACTCAGACCTGATGTGTGTGTTATAGGTCCTAATATCTCACTCAGACCTGATGTGTGTGATGTCGGTCCTAATATCTGATTATCTTGCGTCACATTACACGTCTTCCTGTGACACGCATTTTCACACACGTCTCTCCTGCACTTTCTTATATTCTCCGCTTCTGTTAAACCTTTCATATAAGCCCCAGACCGAGGGGCACAGGGAGTGTGTGGCTGCAAGGCCAAAGAAAAGCGTTTCCTACGAGTATAACTCCCTCTGTCCTGACCCTGCTCTCAGTGGTGCTATCGCAGTAACACTTCAGACATTAAAGAATCAGTCTTTATTTAATCACCAGAACACACACACACACTTGTAACTTCCCTGACTCCGATCACTTTGCTCCACACTTTTCATTCTCATTCATTCATTTCTCAGCGCTCGTTGCTGAAGTGTGTGTGTGTGTGCACTCGTGTCCGGGGCGCGCACACACACACGTGCACACATGTTACTATCTGCCCTGACCCTCGCTCTCAGTGTGGTGCTATTGCAATAACACTTCAGACATTCAACAATCAGTCTCTATTCGCCAGAACACACACACAAACACACACATTCCCGCAAACACTAGTGAGGTCGTAGTTAAAAACATGAAAACTGAGGACTTGCCTTTCCCAATGTTTTAGGAGGAAGAAAAAACACTTTCTAGACACTTGATGGCGCTGCGGAGCTATACACTCCATTGAAAAAATTTTAGAACCAAGATTTAAGAAAACGTTTTGAACCATCAGAGTGGGGACAATAAGTGAAATTTGCAAAAGAAATCATGAATAGACCTTTTTTTAACTCTTTGAAGGTTTATTTAGAATTATATAGTTGGTCACATGTGCAAATGGACACAGATTATTATGTGGGATCACAGCAATTTTAATAAAACAAAGCAAAACATTTGAAAGACAGGTTTTTTTGCATCTTTGTATTTTGACTTGTCCCAACAGGACAATTACAAAGGACCTAATACAAAGTGCTCTTGAACGGGACTTTAAAACATAACTGCACTTAACATTAAAGCAGGGCGGTCAAACTCATTCCTAAAGCGCCGCAGTGGCTGCAGGTTTTCCATCAGACCAAGCAGGAGCAGAGCAGACTCCTCCCATTTCCTCAAACCTTCAGGTTAAGACTGAACTCACTGAGGAAATGGGAGGAGTCTGTTCTGCTCCTGCTTGGTCTGATGGAAAACCTGCAGCCACTGCGGCGCTTTGGGAATGTGTTTGACACAAATACCAGCTACACAAGCTGCCTCTTGAGTCGGATAATAGTATTATACACAAAGTACTTGAGGTCCTTCCAGGTTCTGTTGATGAGGGCTGCAGACTCCTGTGTGAGGCACAGCACACAGAGCCAGGTACTTCTCCATCCTCTTCTCCACGGCTCTCCTCCTCACTCCAGGGTTTCTTTGGGTTTCTAGAAGCTTCTGATGGAGACAATAAGACACATAAAGACTTATGTTTATCCTGATGACCAGGTCTGGACCAGGTCTAAACCAGGACTGAACCAGGACTAAACCAGGTCTACCCTAGGTGTACCCTAGGTCTAAACACCAGGACTGAACCAGGTCTAAACCAGGACTAAACCAGGTCTACCCTAGGTCTAAACACCAGGACTACCCCAGGACTGAAACAGGACTGAACCAGGTCTAAACCAGGTCTAAACCAGGTCTAAACGAGGTCTAAACCAGGTCTAAACCAGGTCTAAACCAGGACTAAACCAGGTCTAAACCAGGTCTAAACCAGGTCTAAACCAGGTCTAAACCAGGTCTAAACCAGGTCTAAACCAGGTCTAAACCAGGTCTAAACCAGGTCTAAACCAGGACTGAACCAGGACTAAACCAGGCCTAAACCAGGACTAAACCAGGCCTAAACCAGGACTAAACCAGGACTAAACCAGGACTAAACAAGGTCTAAACCAGGTCTAAACCAGGTCTAAACCAGGACTAAACCAGGACTAAACCAGGCCTAAACCAGGACTGAACCAGGTCTAAACCAGGACTGAACCAGGACTAAACAAGGACTAAACCAGGACTAAACCAGGACCAGTTGTACTCACCATCTGTCCTCTTGGTCAGTTTGTTTTTCTGGCCTTTGTGGAGGTCGGCTCTAGCCCCTCTTCATCAGACACTTCAGCACACGCTAAGAACACACAGAAGGGTCAGCAAGGACTAAACCAGGACTAAACCAGGTCTGAACCAGGTCTAAACCAGGTCTAAACCAGGTCTGAACCAGGTCTAGCCTAGGTCTAAACCAGGTCTAAACCAGGACTGAACCAGGTCTAAACCAGGCCTAAACCAGGCCTAAACCAGGTCTAGCCTAGGTCTAAACCAGGTCTAAACCAGGACTGAACCAGGTCTAAACCAGGCCTAAACCAGGCCTAAACCAGGACTAAACCAGGATCAGTTGTACTCACCATCTGTCCTCTTGGTCCGTTTGTTTTTCTGGGCCTTTGTGGAGGTCGGCTCTAGCTCCTCTTCATCAGACACTTCAGCACACGCTAAGAACACACAGAAGGGTCAGCAAGGACTAAACCAGGACTGAACCAGGACTAAACCAGGACTAAACCAGGTCTGAACCAGGTCTGAACCAGGACTGAACCAGGACTAAACCAGGACTGAACCAGGTCTGAATCAAGACTAAACCAGGACTAAACCAGGACTGAACCAGGTCCGAACCAGGACTAAACCAGGACTGAACCAGGACTGAACCAGGACTGAACCAGGACTGAACCAGGTCTACCCTAGGTCTAAACCATGTCTACCCTAGGTCTAAACCAGGACTGAACCAGGACTAAACCAGGTCTACCCTAGGTCTAAACCAGGTCTAGCCTAGGTCTAAACCAGGTCTAAACCAGGTCTAAACCAGGTCTAAACCAGGACTGAACCAGGACTAAACCAGGCCTAAACCAGGACTGAACCAGGTCTAAACCAGGACTGAACCAGGACTAAACCAGGACTAAACCAGGACTAAACCAGGACTAAACCAGGACTAAACCAGGATCAGTTGTACTCACCATCTGTCCTCTTGGTCAGTTTGTTTTTCTGGGCCTTTGTGGAGGTCGGCTCTAGCTCCTCTTCATCAGACACTTCAGCACACGCTAAGAACACACAGAAGGGTCAGCAAGGACTAAACCAGGACTAAACCAGGACTAAACCAGGACTGAACCAGGACTAAACCAGGACTAAACCAGGACTAAACCAGGTCTGAACCAGGACTGAACCAGGACTAAACCAGGACTAAACCAGGTCTGAACCAGGACTGAACCAGGTCTGAACCAGGTCTGAACCAGGTCTGAACCAGGTCTGAACCAGTCTAAACCAGGTCTAAACCAGGACTAAAACCAGGACTGAACCAGACTAAACCAGGACTAAACCAGGACTAAACCAGGACTAAACCAGGACTAAACCAGGACTAAACCAGGACTGAACCAGGACTAAACCAGGACTAAACCAGGACTGAACCAGGACTGAACCAGGTCTGAACCAGGACTAAACCAGGACTAAACCAGGACTAAACCAGGACTAAACCAGGACTAAACCAGGACTGAACCAGGTCTGAACCAGGTCTGAACCAGGACTAAACCAGGACTAAACCAGGACTAAACCAGGTCTGAACCACCAGGACTAAACCAGGTTCTAAACCAGGACTGAACCAGGTCTGAATCAGGTCTGAACCAGGACTAAACCAGGTCTGAACCAGGACTGAAACCAGGTCTAAACCAGGACTAAACCAGGACTAAACCAGGACTAAACCAGGACTAAACCAGGACTGAACCAGGACTGAACCAGGTCTAAACCAGGTCTAAACCAGGACTAAACCAGGACTAAACCAGGACTAAACCAGGTCTAAACCAGGTCTAAACCAGGACTGAACCAGGAAACCAGGACTCTGAACCAGGACTAAACCAGGACTAAACCAGGTCTAAACCAGGTCTAAACCAGGACTAAACCAGGACTAAACCAGGTCTAAACCAGGTCTAAACCAGGACTAAACCAGGACTGAACCAGGTCTAAACCAGGTCTAAACCAGGACTAAACCAGGACTAAACCAGGACTGAACCAGGTCTAAACCAGGTCTAAACCAGGACTAAACCAGGACTAAACCAGGACTGAACCAGGACTGAACCAGGTCTAAACCAGGTCTAAAACCAGGACTGAACCAGGACTAAACCAGGTCTAAACCAGGTCTAAACCAGGTCTAAACCAGGTCTAAACCAGGACTAAACCAGGACTAAACCAGGACTAAACCAGGACTAAACCAGGATCAGTTGTACTCACCATCTGTCCTCTTGGTCCGTTTGTTTTTCTGGGCCTTTGTGGAGGTCGGCTCTAGCTCCTCTTCATCAGACACTTCAGCACACGCTAAGAACACACAGAAGGGTCAGCAAGGACTAAACCAGGACTAAACCAGGACTAAACCAGGTCTAAACCAGGTCTAAACCAGGACTGAACCAGGACTAAACCAGGACTAAACCAGGACTGAACCAGGCCTAAACCATGTCTAAACCAGGACTGAACCAGGACTAAACCAGGTCTACCCTAGGTCTAAACACCAGGACTGAACCAGGACTGAACCAGGTCTAAACCAGGTCTAAACACCAGGACTGAACCAGGACTAAACCAGGTCTAAACCAGGTCTAAACCAGGTCTAAACCAGGTCTAAACCAGGTCTAAACCAGGTCTAAACCAGGTCTAAACCAGGACTGGACCAGGACTGAACCAGGTCTAAACCAGGTCTAAACCAGGTCTAAACACCAGGACTGAACCAGGTCTAAACCAGGTCTAAACCAGGTCTAAACCAGGTCTAAACCAGGTCTAAACCAGGTCTAAACCAGGTCTAAACCAGGTCTAAACCAGGTCTAAACCAGGACTAAACCAGGACTAAACCAGGACTAAACCAGGACTAAACCAGGACTAAACCAGGACTAAACCAGGACTAAACCAGGATCAGTTGTACTCACCATCTGTCCTCTTGGTCCGTTTGTTTTTCTGGGCCTTTGAGGAGGTCGGCTCTAGCTCCTCTTCATCAGACACTTCAGCACACGCTAAGAACACACAGAAGGGTCAGCAAGGACTAAACCAGGACTAAACCAGGACTAAACCAGGTCTGAACCAGGTCTGAACCAGGTCTGAACCAAGACTAAACCAGGACTAAACCAGGTCTAGCCTAGGTCTAAACCAGGTCTAAACCAGGTCTAAACCAGGACTGAACCAGGACTAAACCAGGACTAAACCATGTCTAAACCAGGACTAAACCAGGACTAAACCAGGTCTACCCTAGGTCTAAACACCAGGACTGAACCAGGACTGAACCAGGTCTAAACCAGGTCTAAACACCAGGACTGAACCAGGACTAAACCAGGTCTAAACCAGGTCTAAACCAGGTCTAAACCAGGTCTAAACCAGGTCTAAACCAGGTCTAAACCAGGTCTAAACCAGGACTGGACCAGGACTGGACCAGGTCTAAACCAGGTCTAAACACCAGGACTGAACCAGGACTAAACCAGGTCTAAACCAGGTCTAAACCAGGTCTAAACCAGGTCTAAACCAGGACTAAACCAGGACTAAACCAGGACTAAACCAGGATCAGTTGTACTCACCATCTGTCCTCTTGGTCCGTTTGTTTTTCTGGGCCTTTGTGGAGGTCGGCTCTAGCTCCTCTTCATCAGACACTTCAGCACACGCTAAGAACACACAGAAGGGTCAGCAAGGACTAAACCAGGACTAAACCAGGACTAAACCAGGTCTAAACCAGGTCTAAACCAGGTCTAAACCAGGACTGAACCAGGACTAAACCAGGACTAAACCAGGACTGAACCAGGACTAAACCAGGACTAAACCAGGACTAAACCAGGACTGAACCAGGTCCGAACCAGGACTAAACCAGGACTGAACCAGGACTAAACCAGGTCTACCCTAGGTCTAAACCATGTCTAGCCTAGGTCTAAACCAGGACTGAACCAGGACTAAACCAGGTCTACCCTAGGTCTAAACCAGGTCTAGCCTAGGTCTAAACCAGGACTGAACCAGGTCTACCCTAGGTCTAAACACCAGGACTACCCCAGGTCTGAACCAGGTCTAAACCAGGTCTAAACCAGGTCTGAACCAGGTCTGAACCAGGTCTGAACCAGGTCTGAACCAGGTCTGAACCAGGTCTACCCTAGGTCTAAACCAGGACTAAACCAGGACTTGTCTTTGGTCTGGACTCACATGTGTCAGAAAATACTGAAACGTTGCTGGATAATGTAGAGGAGCACGGGCTTCCAGGAGGAGGCTTGTACTCATCACTGGACCAGGCATCTGAAGATGGGCTACTCATCTGCAACATGCAAGATTTACAATTAGAATTCATCTGCATTTTCTTTAATACATTTCAACACATTTTAATTTTACAATAAATTTAAAATGATTTTTGGAAATTACTCCATGAGGTCCTGAATCCAAAACACGTTCTAAAGTAAGTAATATTCATATATAGTGCATTTCAGAGACCAAGGGGAAAAAATAAATAAAATAATAATCGCTTGCTCATACAATTTTCATAATTCAGCAATTGATTTTAGAAGGCCTCCATCTTTTTCGAAGTTTCAGAGATCAGAACCACAGACCCACGCACAGACACAGACCCACAGAACAACGAGCAGACCCACAGACCCACACACAGACCCACAGACCCACGCACAGACCCACAGACCACCACAACACAGCAGACCCACGCACAGACACAGACCCACAGAACCATGCGCAGACCCACGCACAGACACAGACCCACAGAACCATGCGCAGACCCACGCACAGACCCAGACCCAGACCGCACAGACCCACACACAGACCCAGACCCCCACAGACCAGCACAGACCAGACCACAGACCAGAACCCACGCACAGACCCCACCCACCACAGACCCACGCACACCACGCACAGACCACAGACCCCCACAGACCCACGCACAGACCCACAGACCCACACACAGACACAGACCCACAGGCCCTCGCACAGACACAGACCCACAGAACCATGCGCAGACCCACGCACAGACACAGACCCACAGAACCATGCGCAGACCCACGCACAGACACAGACCCACAGACCCACACACAGACACAGACCCACAGGCCCTCGCACAGACACAGACCCACAGAACCATGCGCAGACCCACGCACAGACACAGACCCACAGAACCACGAGCAGACCCACAGACCCACACACAGACCCACCACAGACCCGCGCACAGACCCACAGAACCACGCACAGACCCAGACCCGCGCACAGACCCAGACCCGCGCACAGACCCAGACCCGCGCACAGACCCAGACCCGCGCACAGACCCACGCACAGACACAGACCCACGCACAGACACAGACCCACGCACAGACCCACAGAACCACGCACAGACCCACGCACAGACCCACAGACCCACGCACAGACCCAGACGCACAGACCCACGCACAGACCCAGACCCGCGCACAGACCCACAGACCCACGCACAGACCCACGCACAGACCCACAGAACCACGCACAGACCCACGCACAGACCCACGCACGCACAGACCCACAGACCCACGCACAGACCCACGCACAGACCCACGCACAGACACAGACCCACAGGCCCTCGCACAGACACAGACCCAGACGCACAGACCCACACACAGACACAGACCCACAGGCCCTCGCACAGACACAGACCCACAGAACCATGCACAGACCCACGCACAGACCCACAGACCCACACACAGACACAGACCCACAGGCCCTCGCACAGACACAGACCCACAGAACCATGCACAGACCCACGCACAGACACAGACCCACAGACCCACGCACAGACACAGACCCACAGACCCACGCACAGACCCACAGACCCACACACAGACCCACAGACCCACACACAGACACAGACCCACAGGCCCTCGCACAGACACAGACCCACAGGCCCTCGCACAGACACAGACCCACAGAACCATGCACAGACCCACGCACAGACACAGACCCACAGACCCACGCACAGACAGACCCACAGACCCACGCACAGACCCACAGACCACACACACAGACACAGACCCACAGGCCCTCGCACAGACACAGACCCACAGAACCATGCACAGACCCACGCACAGACACACAGACCCACAGACCCACGCACAGACCCACAGACCCACGCACAGACCCACAGACCCACACACAGACCCACAGACCCACACACAGACACAGACCCACAGGCCCTCGCACAGACACAGACCCACAGAACCATGCACAGACCCACGCACAGACACAGACCCACAGACCCACGCACAGACCCACAGACCCACGCACAGACCCACAGACCCACACACAGACACAGACCCACAGGCCCTCGCACAGACACAGACCCACAGAACCATGCACAGACCCACGCACAGACACAGACCCACAGACCCACACACAGACACAGACCCACAGGCCCTCGCACAGACACAGACCCACAGAACCATGCACAGACCCACGCACAGACACAGACGCACAGACCCACAGACCCACGCACAGACCCACAGACCCACACACAGACACAGACCCACAGGCCCTCGCACAGACACAGACCGTGGGCGGCACGGTGGCTGAGTGGATAGCACTCTCGCCTCTCAGCAAGAAGGTCCTGGGTTCGAATCCCGGTCGGACCAGGGCCTTTGGAGTTTGCATGTTCTCCCCGTGTCTGCGTAGGTTTCCTCCGGGTACTCCGGTTTCCCCTACCACTAAAAATATGTACAATAGGCATGTGCCTCCTGTACTGGCGACCCTGCTCCCATCTCTGTGTGGAGTGAGAGACAAATGCCCAAAATTAACAATTGTAAACCGCTTTGAGACTCAGATCTGCAGTGAAAAGGCGGTATATAAATAAAAACTTACTTACTACTTACTTACTCGCGCATAGGCGCAGACCCACGCCGCCATCAAACGAACTTACCGCTGAGCACCACGTTTTGTATTTAAAACATTGGATTTGATACGGAGAAGTTACTTTGGCCGGAGTTATTACAATGAAAAGCACTCACTTTACCCACAGAAATAAGACAGAGGTACTTACCGCATCGGCTCTGCTCTCACGCGCCATCTCTCCGGTTCGTCGCCGTGTGCTCTTCGCGTGGTCCTCGTGTGCACGTGAACTCAGACAGAACGTGGCTCATTGTGCGCTCTCATTGGTTAAGATACACAGTGTTGTGATTGGTTAAATCCACCTGCAAGCTGTTTCTTTCTCCCTCAAAAAATATAGTTTTTTACTTATTAATTTTACAATTACAACATTTCAAAGTTTTCAAATGAAACTTGTTCCTGGTGAACTCGTGTTAAAGCCCTTTCCTGTGCTGTGTGTGTTAAAACAACACATTTAAACATGTTTAGTTTTAGGCTGTGATACTAAGTGCACAGGGGGCGGGACCGTAGGCTACTCTGATTGGCTGATCCAGAGTGGGCCATCAAAGAGAAACAATGTTTCAATCTACAGCTGCAGAATCCAAGACCTGAACTGAGACCTGGACTGATAAACTTAGAACGTATGTTCAGGGCTGCAGGAGACACGTGCGCACAGTCAAAAATATAGTCATACAATCAAACAAAAATACAAATACAAAAATTACACAGTAAAAAAGGCTTTTGGCTGGTATCTTAAAGCTATTATTGGTGCATTACATTTGATGAAAAAAATCATCTCAAGCTTCTGTTTGTAACATCAAAAAATCGAAATAATGGAAAAGAGACTAAATCGGAAAATTATATATATATATATATTTAAAAAAAAAATTGTCCACTCACCTTTCACCACGGGCACTATTGTCACCTTTACCCTCCAGGCCCTCTCCAGCTCCTCTCTGAGACCTTGGTATTTCTCAAGCTTTTCATGTTCTTTTTTCCTGATGTTACCATCGCTTGGAATTTCCACGTCCACCACCACGGCTGTCCTCTGCCCTTTGTCCACCACCACGGCTGTCCTCTGTCCACCACCACGGCTGTGCTCTGCCCTTTGCCCACCACCACGGCTGTCCTCTGCCCTTTGCCCACCACCACGGCTGTCCTCTGCCCTTTGCCCACCACCACGGCGGTCCTCTGCCCTTTGTCCACCACCACGGCGCTGTCCTCTGCCCTTTGTCCACCACCACGGCTGTCCTCTGCCCTTTGTCCACCACCACGGCTGTCCTCTGCCCTTTGTCCACCACCACGGCTGTCCTTTGTCCACCACCCACGGCTGTGCTCTGCCCTTTGCCCACCACCACGGCTGTCCTCTGCCCTTTGCCCACCACCACGGCTGTCCTCTGCCCTTTGCCCACCACCACGGCGGTCCTCTGCCCTTTGTCCACCACCACGGCTGTCCTCTGCCCTTTGTCCACCACCACGGCTGTCCTCTGCCCTTTGTCCACCACCACGGCTGTCCTCTGCCCTTTGTCCACCACCACGACTGTCCTCTGCCCTTTGTCCACCACCACGGCTGTCCTCTGCCCTTTGTCCACCACCACGATGTCAGGTTGGTTCATTACCGTTCGGTCGGTCTGTATCTGGAAGTCCCACAGGATCTTCTCATTCTCCACCACCTTTGGAGGAGTTTCCCACTTAGTCCTTGGGGTTTCCAGCCCATACTCTGCACAGATGTTTCTGTACACTATGCCAGCCACTTGGTTATGGTGTTCCATGTAGGCCTTCCCTGCCAGCATCTTGCACCCTGCAGTTATGTGTTGGATCGTCTCAAGTGCCTCTTTGCACAACCGACACCTTGGGTCTTGTCTGGTGTGGTATATCTGGGCCTCTATCGCTCTGGTGCTCAGGGCCTGTTCCTGTGCAGCCATGATGAGTGCCTCTGTGCTGTCCTGTAGGCCAGCCCTTTCTAGCCATTGGTAGGACTTCTTGAGATCAGCCACTTCTGTTATGCTCCGGTGGTACATGCCGTGTAGAGGCTTGTTCTCCCATGATGGGCTCTCCTCCAGCACCTCCTCATCTCGCCACTGCCTGAGACATTCACTGAGTACGTCATCCGTTTTGGCCTTCTCCATGATGTAGTTATGGAGTTTGGATGTTTGGTCCTGGACAGTGGCTCTCACACTCACTAGTCCTCTGCCTCCTTCTTTACGGCTTACGTACAGTCTCAGGGTGCTGGATTTGGGATGGAACCCGCCATGCATGGTAAGGAGCTTTCGAGTTTTAACATCCGTGGTCTGAATCTCTTCCTTTGGCCACCTGATTATTCCTGCAGGGTATCTGATCACTGGCAGGGCGTAGCTGTTAATAGGAGCTGTTAACAGCTCCTATTAGTAGCTGTTAATATATATATAAATATATATATATATATATATATATATATATATAGGAGCTGGAGAGGGCCTGGAGGGTAAAGGTGACAGTAGTGCCCGTGGTGATCGGTGCACTCGGGGCAGTGACCCCGAAGCTAGAAGAGGTTACAGCGGATCCCCGGAACAACCTCGGACATCTGGGTCCAGAAATGTGCAGTGCTAGGAACAGCAAAGATACTGCGCAGAACCCTCAGGCTCCCAGGCCTCTGGTAGAGGACCCGAGCTTAGAGAGGGATAACCGCCCACGGAGGGCCAGGTGAGTGGACAATTAATATATATATATATAAATAAATATATATATATATATATATTCCTAAATAAAACAGCTATAATGTATTCAATTTTAAAATATTGATATATATCTGATAAGTTTGTGTAAGCCCTCAGTCGTACAGGGATTAGTCAAAGCAAAGGAAGGTTTCTCACCCATCATCTGTACTTCTTAGCACGTTTTCCCAAAACGTGCTAAGAAGTACAGATGATGGGTGAGAAACCTTCCTTTGCTATATATCTGATAATTGACACAGCCCTAATTACCCGCCCCTGACTCAAAACTGCAGACGAATCACCACAGATTTCAGTCTAGCAATCAAATGAGCCTCCTCCTCTTCAACACAAAACATGGATCATATGAAGTTTCTGAGTGTTTCATAATTCAAATTAGTGAGAGACACAGTTCCTCCAGCTGAGACACAGTCCATCCAGCTGAGAGACACAGTCCATCCAGCTGAGAGACAGTCCATCCAGCTGAGACACAGTCTATCCAGCTGAGACACAGTCCATCCAGCTGAGAGACACAGTCCATCCAGCTGAGAGACACAGTCCATCCAGCTGAGACACAGTCCATCCAGCTGAGACACAGTCCATCCAGCTGAGAGACACAGTCCATCCAGCTGAGACACAGTCCATCCAGGTGAGAGACACAGTCCATCCAGCTGAGACACAGTCCATCCAGCTGAGACACAGTCCATCCAGCTGAGACACAGTCTATCCAGCTGAGACACAGTCCATCCAGCTGAGAGACACAGTCCATCCAGCTGAGAGACACAGTCCATCCAGCTGAGACACAGTCCATCCAGCTGAGACACAGTCCATCCAGCTGAGAGACACAGTCCATCCAGCTGAGACACAGTCCATCCAGGTGAGAGACACAGTCCATCCAGCTGAGAGACACAGTCCATCCAGCTGAGACACAGTCCATCCAGGTGAGAGACACAGTCCATCCAGCTGAGAGACACAGTCCATCCAGCTGAGACACAGTCCATCCACCTTAGACCCTCCTGCATCGAGGAAACTCCTAAACCAGTGGCAGAAAAAGAGAACCTCGGAAACACCACAGAGAGAGGGGTCCATCCCACAGACGGATCACAGACGGGTCACAGAGGGCGGGTCATCAGCACTGCTCCTGGGCCTCAGGGCTCTTCTCTGACAGTTTCATGACTTCAGTCCAAACCCAGGGAAGTCCTCAGAGGAACATTTAAGAATGTGTCTAACTTATCACCCTAAGTCTGGGTCTAACTTAATCCCGGACCCTGTCCCGGACTCAGCCCCGGACCTAGACTCGGACCTAGACTCGGACCTAGACTCGGACCTAGACTCGGACCTAGACTCGGACCTAGACTCGGACCTAGACTCGGATCTAGACTCTGATCTAGACTCTGATCTAGACTCTGATCTAGACTCTGATCAAGACTCTGATCTAGCCTCTGATCTAGACTCTGATCTAGACTCTGATCTAGACTCTGATCTAGACTCTGATCTAGACTCTGATCTAGACTCTGATCTAGACTCTGATCTAGACTCTGATCAAGACTCTGATCTAGCCTCTGATCTAGACTCTGATCTAGACTCTGATCTAGACTCAGTCCTGGACCCAGACCTGAGCCGAGTCGAGAACCAAGACCTAGACCCGGACCAGTCCAGGTCGCGCGTCTATGGTGCTCGCTCGGTACATGACCACGCGCGTCTATGGTCCTCGCTTGGTACATGACCACGTGCGTCTATGGTCCTCGCTTGGTACATGACCACGTGCGTCTATGGTCCTCGCTCGGTACATGACCACGCGTTTGTCTATGGTCCGCGCTCGGTATATGACCACGCACACTTGCTGAGCTGTCGAAGCGCCACAGTTTCTCCCGGGGTCAGAACGAAGGATGTTATTGCACTACGACCCCCCAGGGAGGAGCGCCACACTATTTGAGAAGGACTGGTCAATGTGAAGTACGCAAAAGCGCTTACTAACTCAAGTGATAGTCACGCATGCGTACCTGCGTACCACTTATGTGCACCCCTGC